TTATACTATATCATATACAGTGGGAAAAACAAAAGTTTTGGAAAGAAAAGAGAAATGAAATAATATTAAGAGCAAACAAAGACATGTTTTAACTATTTACCATGTTTCTGGCCTTTTTATATAGGGAATTATATTGTTTTAACACCTTATGCTAAAATCACTTGTGACTAGATCTTCATCTTTACCTAAACTCCGTAACAGAAATGCTATATATTTTTTGTATTCCTTTTATATTCTTTAGTGCTGGTCACTTGATAGAATTTAAATTCATTTGTCCAATCTATTTAAATGCAATGAGTTTGTCTTCTACTGAAATGACAGCAAGGTAATTTGTTGCAATAAATTTGTTAAGATACTTTATAGAATATATTGAGCTCTTCCATAGGAACAATAACTTGGACCAGTTGATTACTCTCTCATTCATTGATGCATTAATTTCTAAATTCAGTAATTACCAAATCATGAAATACTAATAGAGGCATGATTAAAAACCAGTGCTCCAGGGCACCTAACAATACTCCTGTGATCTAAACTATTTCTGAAAAATAAACATATTCTCAAAAGCAATTTGCCTATCTGCAGAATTAGCCCTGGAAATTGTTGCATATAAAGAGGTAAATTTATAAAGGTCCCAATTTTCTAGGAGTTTATAAAAGTGAACATAATACTGCAGCTGACACACTGAGTATGGCAGAACAACTAAAAATAAACACATCTATAACCTGTTCACACCTGGTATAAAAAAACTGCAGAATTAACATGGTCAGTAAGGCAAATAGATGGTAGAAATGCTACATGACCAGCTCCAACATATCAAGGAAGACTTACAACGGTTTTGGTAATTTTAGAGTTCTCAGAATGACAGAAGAAAATATTTCAATTACTGAGTGTGTGGTAGGAAAAGTTTTCCAAATCGAGGGCAATACCAGAGTACACAAAAATCGATAATGAAACATACATACATGTGATCTATAATGTAATGTAAGGTAATGTAATAATATGATTATAATATAATATGATATGATATAATTAAAGTAACATCTGTGACAGATAATGCCCTTTATTTTCACCAAAGGATGAGTACATGGATGCTGACTAAGGAACAACACTTGCCACAACATGAATAGGAAACTTGATAATTTTGGATTTTTTTTTTTTTGATAAAGTAATGTGACGAAGGAACCAAGACAGAGAGTCAAGTATGTGAGTTATTGCAATGATGGCTATAGAATTTTAACTAAATAAAGGAGTATGGCCTCAAGGGCAAGAAGGACAGTTAAATAGTGGTGGAACTGAAAGAAAGAATTCACTGGCACATTTTATGGGATCACAAGACCCTTTACCCCTAAATAGCAGAGAAAGTAGACTGGCCAAAGGACATGCTAGAGAGTGCAATGCTTAGATTTGAGATTTAATTTTATAAAAGACAGAACAGAAATATATTTACTATATACAGCTCTAAAGGAATTAAAGGATATTGGAAAAGTCAGACATAAACTGAAACCATGCACATGAATTCTCCAAATATAGAACAAAAAAGGGTGAAAAGACTATCAAAAAAAAAGAAAAGAGAAAAATTTAACATTTTCCAAAGTGAGAACCATTTGGAGATGAAAAACAAGTAAATGTTAAGAAATAAATGTGATAACGAAGAGAAGATCCATACAGTAAAATGATCAAGAATTATAAATATTATTGAACAGATAATAGGAAACATAAAAAAGTGAATATATTTGATTCAAGCATTAAAATCATGAACATTCAAGTAGAACAAGTGATATAACTTGCATTAGAACAAAACATATAGGAAAATATGAAGGCACCTCCACACCAGAAGCCATGAAACATCTATGCGGCTCTAAAGGTGCTAAAGCCATGGACGTTATCGCCAATCAACTTAATCTTCAATATACAGAAAATACTTTTCAAATATGCAATTCCAGAGATCATCTATCTTAAGAGCCCCTTTTGATTAAAGAAATTACTGGAAAATAAAAATTCATCCAATAAAATAATGTAATTAAACTAAAAAACAAGAGAGAATATTTACTTGTAATTGAATCAATGAATATACCTTAACATATAAACTTTGAATATTGATTTCAGAGCTGACTACAAATTTTAGAATTCCTTAAATGTAAAAATACTAAAATAACAAATATGAGATGGGTGAGGAGAGAAAAGAAGTGCATGAAGATGATAAATTTTCTCATCTTGTGTAATAAATTCATAATCTGAAATTAAAATATAGTGTTTAATGAATTACTTCAGTAATGATGCTTTTTCTTAAGTGTATCAGGTTCTTTTTGGGATCTAGACTCTCATGCTGATCTTTCAAAATTCATTTCATTTTATTAAATTATTTCATTAAATTCAAGTAAAATAACCTGAATGTTAGAATTTTTAAATGCTTTTTCCTGTATTTTCTTTCTGTTTTTTTTCATCAACAGAGAGAGACAGAAAATTTATCTGACAAGACTTTACTTGCTAAAAATACAAACAAGACCAAATCTATGGCTTTCTTGTCTGGGCTCACCAAGACCAGTACCTAACCTAAATACAGTATCATCTTACCCCAAAGGTGGAGCACTAAATCTATCACTCTGGAGTCTTCTGGCTGGTGCTAGTGAGGTCATCTCCATTATCAGACCTTGCCTCCCCAGGGAAGATGGTTTTGCCTGATGTAACTTTCTTCTTTTAATAACCTTTTTCCACATCTTTGTCCCTTCCATTTTGTACGAACTTTGCAAAGCCTCTTGACTAGCTAGATGGGATGCTACCTGATAAATAATTTAATGACATCAAGTAGATCATGAATGTAGTTGGAATTTTTTTTAACACTTCATATTTCACTGTAATATAATGATTTTGCTTGGTTAGTATGATTTGAAATGATACATATTTTTATATATTCTTTTTAAGTCTAACTTTTAGAGTGATCTTATAAGCATTTGATGAAGACATGAGACTTGTAAAATTAACAAGCAAACCAAAAACTTAATGAATCTAACATAGTCTCTAAAAAGGAGTGAAACTGAAAAAGCCATACAGAATAAGTCTACCAAAATGATGAAAACTACCCAAAGTTTGAAAAAATACTGAGAAACTGGTATTCTTATATATGTACATTGTAAACTTCTGACAGCTTGTTTTATTTTAGTGGAAGTGTTTGTTTGAGAAGGCACTAACTTCAAAAGACATCCATCTGAATAAACATATTGTCAGCTACTGAAAGCCAGGTCACCCACCCATAAAATCTCCTTTTTTTTAAAAAAAGCTTTGGTTATATTAGATAACTGACTATTTCATTTGACTATCTGCTTTCTGTTCTGTGTTTTAATTACCTTTTATATTTTAAATTTACCAATAAAGTACTACCTGTAGGCACCTCATCCCTGAACCACATCAGAAGTAGAACCCCAGTTCCTGATATTCTCTCTCTCTCCCTCTCCATCCTCTGTCCCTACTTTCTTTGTGATTCCTGGCATACAATATGTGCTCTAAATTCTGTTAATAAACCTTGGAGGGGCACAGGTGAGTGCATCATCACTAACCTAGACTAAAACACTGCTAATGAAAACTGTAGAAAGTTTTCTTGTCACAAAATTTTAAAACTAAGCAGTTCATTCCTCTGTGACATATGTGTGGCATTCTCTTTAGTTATCATGCTCTATAGCTATATCCCTAGAAATACATAAATATGCTCTAAGAATTTGAGAACTTATCTCTAGCTGGTGTAATTATCTTCACAATGTTTCCTAGCTGTAGTTTTTCAATATCCTACATTGATATGCACTACCATCTATTTTAGGGCCCTCGCTGGTGGAAAAGTGGTTAAAGTGCCACACTAAGAAACAATCGCACAGCCACTACAGAAACAGAGCTGACCCACATGGCACAGCAGATCTCTCCTGACTCACCTGCTGCTCCCACCTCAGCAGTTTGCTTCAGTCATTTTGCCAGTTCTGCTCTCCACTGTCTCTGGTGAATCTTCTCATGGCTACCCTACCCCAGCCTGTACCCTAGTTCTTGTATGCAAAAATAAATAAAATCTTTTAAAAAATACTACCTATTTCAACCCTTAAATGCACATATTTTAACAGCCCTTAATCAAAACAAGTCATAAAATCGGTAGTTATTTAAGATAAAATGGTAAGTGGCAAATTCATAATTGAAATATTGGCATATTTAAAATAAAGCAGAAGTGACTATTGAAGAGAATAACTTTTTATGTACTTTAGAATACATTCAGAGTTTCAAATCTTAGAAAAGAACAGACAATTTGGTTATAGGTGAGATGGTTTGGGGGCAGATTTAATAAAATGAAAAGACACATTCAATAGGAATGAACTTACTGACAATATGAGAAAAGTTGAAGTTTTGGATGGAAGTCAAAAAACAATTCACTATAGCATTTCATCTGAATTGGAGTAAGAGACTGTAAAAAAGAACTTGAAGATTAAGGCAGAGTCACAGTGTGATCAAGAAGGCAATGCAGGAAGTTGTTTTGGGGAAACACACTGTTTCTTGCCCTTGTAGAGATGAATGAATTTTCCTAACAAATTTGATCAATGTAATTGCCACAATTCTCACATAAATATAAAAATTAATCTTACATTGTATTAAAGGTGACTCTACCCACAGAGGGTCATTTGCAATTCCATTCAAAATCTTCTCCCCAAACTGTAATACTCTTCCCTAGATTGTGCTATATACATGAGATAGTATTCCATAATACAATCCCCTTGCCCTTTGAATAGATACTAGGGATGCATTCACAAATAAGTGCGATGGACATGACTATTTTACACAATATATTGTATTGAGTAACTCTTTCATTAGATTTTAAAATAATAATGAAATAGAGTTAAGGGTTAGGTAATTTTTAATTTTATAAGAATCTCTCATACAAAGGAGAATTCTGGTATCTAAATATCTTAAATACACTTATTTTCAGATTTCATTTCCAAAGATATTGAATGAAAACATTTTAATCTTACCCAGTGAGTTTGACTGCGTGTGTCCGGAGCTTTCGATATTTTTCTAATTCTCCATTTGTACCAATAATGTGTCTATATATCCCTGATTTATAATGGAAGAAATCTTCATGGACTTTCATTATGGCTAGAATAAAATCCAGTGAGATTAATTATATGATTTTAAACATTGTCTTTAAAATTTACAGAAATTCCCATAGAATAACATCAGTAAATTGCCTACAATCTTAAGACGAGATTTTACAATTGAACTTAATTTTCTTTCCTACTTAACTTTGTATGTTGCATTATTGATTCTCTTATAAAATGGAAACTTCCATTATTCAGAATATTCCTTAAAAACACTATAACCAGAATTGAGCTCTTGTAGAAAAGGACCACTGCACTTGGCTAGCGACTGCTATTTCTCCATTAATCTTGTACTTTACCACAAGACGTTTAAAACTCTAATTAAGCTAACAGAGAAGAGTGAATATAGTAAACTTGTATTAATATAAAGGGCTTAATCCTTAGAAGTAAATACAAAGCCTTCCTTGGTGAGTTTGATAAAAAAAGGAAGCCTTTGGCAAAATAATAGTCTGAAGAGATTTCATCCTCCCAGAGCAAAGCCATGTGGAATACTCTAGAAAGTAAGAGCTTATACTTTATAGTATAAAGTTCTCCTTCATTCCCTCACCTAGATTATTTCTTTCCTGTACTATGTTATTTTGTTGAAGGGCTTGGCAATTAAGGAAGAAGACTTTACATTTCTCTTCTCAAAGAAATTAAAAGTAGTCTTAGTTGAGACTAAAACAATTTAACTATATATAACATTTTTCTTAGTTTAACTTGCATCTTAAATAAAATAGAAACTAAGGTCACTAACGTTTGATAGATCCTGAAAGGAAAATGCATTTACTCCAAGTCAAATATAACTTTTACTGTTCTACTTTTTATTTCATTTTTTAAATGTTTTAGGTCTTTTCTGATACTGTTCAAATATTATTAAAAGATTAAATTTTCTGTATCTGCTTTAAAACATATTCTCATAGGAGTTTAAGAATTTATGTAACTGCTTTATGCAGATATTTGCTTTTTGTTCTCTTTCCAGCACCTATATTTATTTTTAATTCTACAGATTTTAGAAGAGTGCACAAGGTGTTATTTATTCAGCATTCCATTCCATTCTAGAATTTTTTTGTAAGAGAGGTAGGAACAAAAAAAATAATAAAAAAAAGGAAAATTCTGCATGTTAAAAGCCTAGGTAACAATGAGTAGAAAACCACATTACATCTACATCAAGACGATCCAACCATCCCTCAAAAATGTGCAGAGATTGCCAGTGGCTTTTTTCTTCTGTAGACTTTATAAACTCTTCTTGACTCTAAGTACCGTAAATCAGACACCCTTTTAATAGCTGAAAGGTACTACCAACTAGAGAAATACAGGAGAGGCCATCACAATCATCATGAAGGTGTCTCCCTCCTTTTGTTTATGACAACAGAAAGATGTAATGAAGCCACAAATATAAGGCTACCTATACTAATGTAGTGCAATTTAACTTTTGGAAAACTACAACACACTTCTTATACAGAATTTTGATGGGTGACATGGACTTGACTGCTTGCTCTCTGTCTTACTCCTGGCTCAGGCTGGCAGAAGACAGGGTCTCCACAAATACTTCTCAAATGAAGGTTAAATAATACACATTCCAAATTGCTTTGGTTTTTATTCATGATTTTAAATTCATTAACAACTAAGTCTAGATCATAAAATAAACCTGAAAATTATAATCCAAATTTCTTTTGGCTAGTTAAAAGGAAGACAGAGCAAATGAGAAACAGCAATATATTTACTTGAAGATTCAGAGAAGGTAAGTAAATTGCCCATAGTCTTTTGTCAAGCAAATGTCCAAAAACTGGGTTTGAATTCAACCTCATTTTAGAGGCCTGTGCTCCTTCAAAATTATCATACAAGCTTAATAAGTGCATGTTGATTCTCTCACTCGTGTTGTTGACTGAGTGGTTAATAAAACCTATACTACTGTAGGGAGAAAGGATATTCTCTTGTTTCAGGTTTTATGTAAGGTCTCTGGGTTTTTTACTTAAATTAAATTCAGAACATGTTTAGAGTAAGCTTTGGTTTTTCAATAACATTTATGGGGTGATAAAGATCAATAAAAATCTTCAAACACAATTTAAAAATGCATTGTTGCTATTAAGTATTGAATCAATACTAGTTAGTTCAGCATTCAAAAAAGCAAAACAAAAGCTAGTCGAACATTTATATGTATCAAAGTTTCAAAATTTAATTTTGCTTCATTTTATATTCCACTACAAACATTATGGAACTTTCAGTTTTCACAACCTGAATGTCCATTTTAGGTCTCTGAATTTATTCTCCCATACATTTCAAGGAAATATTTAGTGTAGGGAATATAATGACATGCATTTATTCTCATATACTATGCCGTTTGTATGTAACAAAATTTAATAGGTAAGCAGATGAACTATAGCTCAAAATTAATGTCAAAGTATAGTAAGTCATTGTGTTATTTTCTTATTTACTGCTAGCTTGCTATTCATACACATTTTTAAAATTGATAAAAGTAGACATATTTTTCTAAAACAAAAATCATACTGATTTATTTGATTCATTTTTACCTGATAAGAAAAGGAAATACAGAATATTTCTATTAATCCTTAAATTATTTTGTAATTATTACCTAATCCATTTAAATTGAAGGTAACAAAATATCAAACATTGTGTATGATTCTTAAATATGACTGTACAATAATTGAAGTAGACACCATAGAACTTCAACTTTCACTGCCTGTTTAGTCCATGATCATGTTGGAGAAAAGCACTGCTTCATCAAAACGTGCCATTCATTTAAAAAAAATCATTGTATGCATGAAGATTAAAAAAAAAAGACTAAGTTTTATCTCCTACAATTAAACTGATCTTAGAACTTCTAAAAGTAAATATTTTCCTTTTTTTATTAAGTTCTTTTTACCTGAACTAAAATTCTGTTTATTAAAGGAATAAACATAACACAACACATTTTACCCACGCTTACCTTGAACTGGTCCATTTTGCATGATTTCCCTCATTATCTCAGTTACCTGGAAGAAAAAGTATCACTGAGCATCATTACTATGAGAGCAGACTGAACCTATTGTTTGGAGTAGTAAGACCAGTGTAGGATTCATGCAATAAGCTGTGTCTTGACCACTTACAATTTACTCGTGATGATGCGTTGAAATATTCACATAAATTGCCATGTGGACAAGTTGCTACAGACAAGATATATTCATGTGCTATACTGACTTTTACCACTAACAATAATCTTGAACTAGAAAGGGAATGTAGTGATTTTTTTAGAGTCATATAGGAAAAAGTAAGTTAAAACAATGTTTTACGAGTAGAGATTAGTACCATCTCCATTTTTCTGATCTCACAAGTGATCCGGATGATTGTTTTAGTGAGATTCTTCTGTATAACTTTACTATAGATCTATATTGTTAACCAGTGTTTTAAATGGCTATTCTTTAGTAAACAAGTTGGTTGCTGATTAACTAAGTCACTTATTCACTCATCTGCAAATTGTTCACAGAGTATGTACTGGAAAGTAGGATAGAAACAAATATAGATCTTGCTGCTATTTTCAAGGTATTTACATTTTGAGTGGAATAGACAGTAACACAACCAAATGTATTAAATGAAAATTAGTTCTATTATAGAGACAAGTACAAAGGTATATAATCAAGGAAGGAAAACTACCCTACATAAGAGTCTAGAAAACTTTGCAGAGAAACGTTTTAACCAGGTCTTGGTACAAGCATGAGAAATCACCAGATGGACATTGGTAGGATTAAAAATTTGGATCAGAGGATCATAACCTGGCTAATAGAGAAGAATGAGAGAACACAATTTATCTGGAGAGGAGACAGTAGCTCAATACATCAGGAGCATGTGGGCAGGTAGGGGGTAGATGTTGACAAGAAATAGTCTATAGAAGCAAGATAGAACCGAATCATGAAAGATTCATATGTTGTATTAATAAAAGCCTATATTCTGAAAATCATTGAAGATACAGAAATTCTGAAAGTAGGAAGGTAAGGTAACACTGATATAATAGTGGCCAATTTGCCTAGATTTTGACATGAAGAAATTCAGTTTAAGGGAGGTTTTTATCCCATTACATCTATGCCCATTTCAAAGAATTGGTTAACTAAGCTACTGCCATGAAAATTAATCAGTGAAAAAGTTTTTAGGAATTATTTGTCAAGTAGCTCAGTCATATATATATATATATATATATATATATATATTAAAGCTCTGTTTCCATGGGTATTTTAAATCTGAACCAATCATTTATACTGCTATATTACAAATATCAGCAATATTCTTTATTGGAAAGTTTGATGTTCTCTGATGGACTCTTCAGGAATAACCTGAAAACATGGCATTATTTTTAAAATTTGAAAAACAACAGAACTATATGTTTTCGAGAAGGTTAGCCCTCATAATTATTTCTACTTAGGCTTACATTGGATGAGACTCTGTATGGAGGAGAACATTGGTAGATCCTGTTAGATTTCTCAAAGTTGTTGGGACATGGCTTGGTGGCATGCCGTTTTCCTCGTCCATCAGATTTACTTGCCATGGCACATTCACTGTTGGCAGCATTTTGGTCCTTGAAAAGTGGATAGCATGCATGGGATACCAGTCTATGGGGAATAAGCAAGAAAATAAAGTAATAGGAAATGTCACAATAGTCTATCTACATACAGTCTTATTTAGTTGAATTAAACATTAATATATTGATTATTAACATCATCTGCTAACATTAATACAGTAATTATTCTGGCTACTTGCATGTACAGAAGCCAGACTGACTACAATATAGCAATTCACTGGTATTATACTTTTCCCTACCTGACCCTCCTATTTCTTCATCATAATTTTTAAAATATTGCTTTGATCTACTTTAATAAATACTACTATCTACAGTATAGAATTTCCTGAAGTTGAAACATGACCATCAATAAATCCTGTGGTATTTTAAACAGGGAAAAAAACTTCATTTAGCATCTACAATGATATAAAAGATAAAATAATGTTGCATCCTGATTTTGAAACTGAAGAAAAGTACAAATTATTTCTCTCCAAATAGAACAAAATTTATTGAATATAGAAGCAGATATAAGGAAAACAAAATAATATAAGAGATCTAACTAATTTATACTGCATTGGCTATAGATGAGGTTGATTCAAGAAAATTCAATAGTATTTGAAAGAGTAAGAGATTCTGCATAAGGAGCATGATGAAAACAGTCATTAAAAACATTAAGCACATCAAAAATTATATTAAATGCATTATTTAAAGATAGCAAGTGCTATGGATTTAAGATTCCCCACAAATTTGTATGTTGAAGCCTTAACTGCAAATGTCAGGTGATTCTATTTGGAGATGAAGCCTTTTGGCAATAACTAACTTTAATAGAGTCACGGAGTGGGGTGGGTGGGTGGGGGGTGGCTCCTTCATCTTTTCATCCATTGAGAAAAGGAAGACACTGAGCTCGCTCTCTCTACCATGTGAGGACACAGTGAGGAGGCAGAGAGGGAGGACAACTCTCACCAATAATTAAGTCATCTGATATCTCCATCTTGGGTTTCTCAGCCTCCCAAGGGAAAATAAATACTTGTTGTTCAAAACACCCAGTCTGTGGTATTTTTTTATTATTATTATTTTAATTTATTTATTTATGCATACAGAACTGGGGTACAGGCCAGCGGCGCAGGGTTGATAAGAGGTTTCACCAGAGACAGAGTGGGGAGCAGAACAGGCAGATTGTTGAAGCACACTGATGAGGGGAACAGTGGGCAAGATGGGAGAGGTCTACCACACCATGTGAATCACTTCCGGGGCAGGGTATCGGACTCACACTGAAACAGCTGCAGCTAACTTGCAATAGTGCGCTCTAACCAGTTGCGCCACTAGGGAGGGCCCTGGTAATTTTTTATGTTAACCTGAGTAGATTGACAATGAAATTCAGATGGGCCTCAATGACAATTTATATTCTTAAGCTTCTAAAAAGCTTTCTTATAAAACACAAGTCAAGTATACCAGGAAGGTATCAACATTACGTGTCCATTCTGAGCAATCTTTTATTAAGTGAAATACATGGGGAAAGAATTAAGAAATTTATTGCTTTTATCAATTTCTGACACTCTTTCATAGCACCAAACTATATTACTTTACAGCAGATCTAGCATACTCAGTAGTAACATATGAGTAGTACATCTGTGTACGGCTTGATTTTAGGTATAGTTTCCTTAGGTGAATAACTAAATTTCTAAGTTAAAAAGTTGTTATAGTAGACATAGTAGACATGAGTGTGCTATGAAGGTATTCCAAGGAGAGAAAAAATACCACCTGAATTTTCTTATAAGATAGTGACAATCCATATTGATGAGCTAAGGCAACTATAAATTATTTCTTTATTTTAGTCATCTGATTACTCCTTTAAAAATGTGCCTGGCATTACCTATTCATCTACCTGTGTAACTGGTAGGCTCAACAGAGATATCAGTAATCTCAATTGCTCTATTCCTTCCATAGAGATTCATTAGAGCCATTTAGCTCAGAACAGTACGACAATGCTTGTGTGAGTCTTCCTATTAACTTAGTTAAGTGCATATACATTCTTTAAATAATTGTTTCCAGTGGTTTACATTTTCAGAAGATACCAAATATGACATGTATTTAAATATCATAAACACATTATATAGATATATCAATATAATTTTGGACTATTATTGTAAAAGCCTTGAATATATTTGTCCTTATTCTAATTTCAAGCAACACTTATAAGAATCCTAGAAACACATGTTGGGCAGCTATTTACCCACGTTTTCTCAGGTACCACCAAGCCCTATCAATGCTTCCACTGTTGCATCCATGTCGGTCCTTGGCACAGCAAGAGATCAAATTCTGAGGGGACAGGTTGGCTGTATATAGACCCTTGGACTGAATTGCTACTCGGTCAGCTGCCACACCTGTTTCAAATAGAATATTGATTAACATTAAAGTAGTACCATTTATTTTTAATATTTTTGCATAGCCCTTTTTATTAGACCCTAAACATGTCTTCAAAACTTATAGATTAGACCCAAAACATAACATATCTAGAATGAAAGGTGAGTGAAACACTACTCAAGATATACCTCAGGAACATCTTTAAAGATATATCATCCAAAGCAAGAATAGTGAAGGCAAGGATAAACAGCAAAGACCACATCAAATTGTTGCTTCTGTGCAACAAAAGACACTACATAAAACAAAAGATGTTCCATAAAACAAACAGACACCCCACTGACTGGGAGAAAATTTTTTCACACAATACTAATGACAAAGGACTAGTCTATGACAAAGATATACAGAGCTGATGAAACTACAAAAATAAACAATCCCTTCAAAAAATAGGTAGAATAGCTAAAAAGACATTTCTTCAAAGAGGAAATAAAGATGGCCAACAGGCATATGAAAAAATGTACAACATCACTTGTAATAAGGGAAATGCAAATTAAAACCTCAATGAGCTACCATCTCACACCAGTGAGCATGGCACATTTTTAAACAACTAACAACAATAAATATTGGTGAGGATGTGGAGAAAAAGGAACTCTCTTGCACTGCTGGTGGGAATGCAAACTGGTCCAACTGCTATGTAAAGCTGTGTGGAGGTTTCTCAAGCTTCTAAAAAATGGAGCTTCCATCTGATCCACCAATCCCACTCCTAGGATCTACCTAAA